AGTTTGACTTTTAGAAGTTTTTTCAAAAATTCTCTTAGGAATTATATTCCTTGGATTAATCAGAGTGTTTGAATACACTTCTGTTTGTTTTATACTTGAAAAAAAAAAAGGTGCTAAGCATAAACTTCCTGAAGTCAGTTTCTTCTTCTAATAAATTTTTAAACATTATTCTCATACTGCTCTACGTAGTTATAGAAAAATGTGAAACCTTTTTAAAATTTTATTCCTCTTATTGGTGATATAGCCATTCTGCCTAGAAGCCGAAAGGATTCTTTCTCTGCTACTTCAAGGACATTGATTAGCCTTTTCTCAGGAGCATCAATAACATGGATATTTCATTTAAGTTTTGTTGTTTTGAATGTGACCTTCATTTCTTAAATAGCCCAATTTTCTTCTTTCTTATCCTTGAAACTTTGTATCTGTGCATTGAACTCTAGTCTTAACACATTTTATTTTTCATTTGAGTCCTTGATTTTTTAGAGAAATCTTTGGTAACTATTTGTCTGGCTACAAGGGCTACTGTGAGGCTAAGGCTAAGGCTGATGTCATGTATCCTCACAGCACCAATTGTCTAGCTCTTAGTCCTGTTCGTGACGCCAGTTGTAAAGCTAGGCAACCACACTAGTTGTTGTGGCTCTTTTACCTGCCAGCAATCCTGCACCAACTGGGCCCATGGTCGAGCTAGGGCTGGGTCTGGAGCTCCCAGACCCCTCAAGCCCGTTCACAGACTGGGTCACAAACCCTTCACACACCAGGCCGTGTCACCAGACCCCCTTCATTCAGGTCTCTGAGGTAGGCAACTGGCCACACAGTCCTTGGAAGCTGTAGGTCTGCAAAAAACATGGCCGTGCAGGGCGGGTGCCCAAGGCAGTAAAAACCAGCCAAAGTGGCGCTGCCTTGCAGGTGCACGTACTCCACCCACCCACACAGTGTTACTGAACCACCCTGAACTGGCTCCTAGGAGAGGGGAGCCTGACCAAATTGTTCCATTTTCCCAACAGTATTATATTCTGTTATGAATTATTTCCTTTGTTTTTCTTGAAGAATATTTGGGTAGAACTCAGTCCGATTTTTTCTTATCTTTCAATAAGTAGAGTTTTAAAAATTGCTGTAGGACAATTTGAGGGAAGGATATTAAAAAACTAGAAACTTGCTTCCACCTAGCAAGAAGTGAACTTGCTTCATAGTAAACTGTCTGATACAGTGTTTGTGTGGATGATTTTGATTTTTCTTCTCTTCAGGAGCAGACCATCTTCTACATACCTACAGTTTCTTTATTTTTCTGCACAGTTACAAAGATGAGAATTTCCATTTGAAAAGTAGGGATAATAATTGTGAAAATTAAATTAAGACACACAAAATTCTAGAACATTGCCTGGCATGTTCTAACACCACTAAATGTTAGTTATTTGACATAATAAATGCTACCTTATATAATCACAGATGGAATTTGTTTCTCCTTTTCTTTATTTTTTTCAGTTGGTATCTTTCTCCTTTACTCTGAAAGTATCTTTAAACAAGAAGTCAACAGAATGTATTTTACAACTGGTCTGTTTCAGGGAACAAGCAGCAAGACCAGGTGGCATTGTGAAATCGATGTGTGTGATAGATGTCAGTAAGGTGCTTAGATACTTTATGGAAGTGTGGGCCTATAGGAAGAGCAGTATAAGCCAAAGGTAGGAGCCCAGACAATCAGAACACCTCTGCAAATGCCAGGAGGACCACAAACAAATAGCCGGACCTCCCAGAGCCACAAGATCTGTAAAGGCAAGTCATGGTAAAATGCTGAAGACTGAGTGAAGTCACTTTTCTTTTGTTTGGAATGGAAGTAAGTTCTTCTCTAGGGAGGTTAGAGGTTTCCACATATTTCCGTATATCCCACTTAGCCATGGCTCCCACTGTATCTGTCCTTTATTTGAGAACTGGTGGTTTCATGCTGGTACATACAACCTACATTTTACAGCTGGGGACTCAAGGCTGAGAGAGGTAAACAGACTCGCCCAAAGCATGCAGCTCAGAGGTGGCAGAGCCTACGTGTAAAGTCTTACTCTTAACTGCTACACCACAGCCTCTCCAGATCTTTTCTATATCTTCATAGTTGTCCCCCAAGGCCTATGGTTTATTTTCCTTTGCTAGTGAGCCATGAGGTGTGAAGTCGCCAGCCTAATCCTCTTTCTTTCCTGCAGGGAGTTCTCAGGTAGATTAAGTATGTCACCTCTGGTTATTCAGCTGTGGATTCAGAACACCTACCCATAATAAGCCTTAGCCCCAGTTTTCAGTTCATAGAAGAAGCCTTAGCTGTTTACTTCCTTCCTGATATAAAGGAACAAGTCTGTTAGCAGGTCACCTATTAGGCACCTGGTATTTGCTTGAGCTGGTAGTAGGAAGAAAAATTCCTGTACAGTGCAAGTAGCCCCCAAATACTATTTTAAGTACCTCGTGGTCTGAGGTCTTTTTTTTTTTTTTTTAATTAGTAACACTAATGGCCTGAATTTGTTTTCTTGCATAGTCACAGCATATGGAGCAATTCTACTCCCAGGTGTGTCATTGTCTATATTTCACATCAAGAGTGAAGTCAATCATTAGAGATTATATCCTGTACCATCTGGAAACTGACTTTCATAAATTATTTTTTAGGTCTCCCTTGCCAGAATGAAATGAACAGAATTCAGAAGCTGAGCAAGGGGAAAAGCCTACTGGGTAAGTACAATTTCTTGCCACTCGTTTAAACAACTAATTAAACCATCCATGTCTCTTATAATGTTCGGCACAGCAATGACTATTCAATTAGGGCCAGTGTTTCATGAAAAACAAAAAATGCCTCATTTTACCCCAGGCAGGGCTCTTCCAGGCAGCTGGTAATATGCCTCAGACAGCTGGATATGAGCAGAGGGTTGGCTGGGTGGGAGCTGCTCCATCAGCCAAAAGCGAGGCCAGAGGTCAGCCCGGTGCCCATGGGCACTGAGCTAGGGCTAGACTTCAGCATGGTCCCCACTGCTAACTCCTCCTTGACCTTGGCCTACAGTAAACCTTGGCTTTCTCTGTTTTCTAGTAAGGCCATGGAATGGAGCTCTCAAGTGTTCTTTCCAGCGCTAAAATTATAAGACCTGTAGATGATAGCATTTCCTCTATTCCCCAGATCAAGTTGTCCATTCAAAGAGGGAGATGAGCTATACTTCCTTTAAAATTTATCAGATGGGGCCGAAGGATTCCTATGCTTAAGCATGTACCTGTTTTCACCTATTCCCTGGAGGAAAGCTTTCAGGCTGTTTAGACACTGCTTGTTTGTCCTTGGGATGTTAAGGCAGAAGCAAGTGAGTTGCGTGTGTGTGTGTTTCCCTAACAGGCAAATGTGAGACTGAGGTAAAGGTAATAGATGCTCTGAGCCCTCCTTTCTCTGCACTCGGGGAAGGTCATGACATTCAGACCAGGCCAGCACCGAGATGTTGGCAAACCTCATTTATTTGCCAAAGGAGTCTGCTTTGCTTTCCTTGCTTTTTAAAAAGAACTGACAGCTGCAACATAACAATTCAGAATTATTCTTGCTAAGCCTTCAGAGGCAGGTGTATTCCCCAAGCAGCCTGCCATTTCAGAAGTTTATCTATTTACCTGAAGGAAACAGCAAGTTTTCTTTCAGATTGTGAAGTATCTGCAGGCTGTGAACTCAGGCAATTTCTCCTCTTCTGATTTTTTGGGTCACCTTAAAGTGCAAACTCCCTCTTCCTTCTACTTTTTAAAATTACTTATTTCCCTAGCTTGCCTCATACTTTTGACTTCTGATAACGCCCTATTTAACTTGGAAACAACTCCAAAGTTGTAGTTTTTGAACTCTCTGAGCCTAAGTTCTTCTCCTGTGTAAAAAGACATAAAGATATCTTTCAGATCTGAAGGCAGAGTGGTGGGTCCCTCCTCCCCAGGATTTTTC